GATTTAATGATTAGATGGTTTGTGCTGATGGAAATCATGTGAATTTAGATTAATTAGTGGTAAGAGATTAACCTTTTTTCAATTTGTATTTATATCTGTGTTGGAGATAGTCGGAAGTCACTTTCCATTTCATTTTTCTACATGTTTTCTATCTTAGCTTTTGTCTTTTTCTTTTACTTCTATTTTCTTTCTTTGCTAAACTTTCTGATTTGTATTTTAACTGTGCTTTTTATATATCTCAACAAAAGTTTTTACAAAAAAAATAGATAGTGGCTCTTCCTCCTGTCCCTCAAGAAGAATTCTTCTGCCCATTACAGAATGTGACTAAGGCTAGAGACAGCTATAAACTCAGGGCTTATTGAAACTGGACATTGCAGCACATTATAAATGGTATTACAAATTATTTTAAGTAAAAAAAAAAAAAGAACCCCTAGGTAAGTTGCACTATGTTTGTGGATCCAGTCTGTGATTAATTCTTCATGCTTAAAATCAATAGGGCTTCTATGAACAGTTTTCCTTTGCGTGTGTGTGTTTTTTTTCCCAGACTTAGATTACTGTTTCCCATGTTCAGTGGGTCAGTATACAAGCAAAGTTTCAGACAGTTGCCTTCAAAAAAGTATAATTGTCTTCACAAGAGCCTTTGGGCCTTTCTTTAGACAAAACTATGGTGCCAGATTACATTAATATCTGCTAAAAAGAGGCAGAGAAAGTTTCATATCTGATCTCTGATGTTTGATTGTCTTCCCGTCTCAGAGTATCTTAATTACACTAGGGATTAGCTGATCTATAGAATAGTCTTGACAGGTTTCCAAGATTCTTTTCCCTTATTCCACTAACAAGAAAGGTCATTCCAGATATCCAAGTGATTCTTATTTCTTGAGTTACCAACTTTGAAACTGACGGCTGTATGTCGTCATCTTCTCTAATTTGGAGGACTCTGAGGAAGAGGTGCTTGCGCCAGCAAATTGTTGGGGAACAATCATCCACTTGAGACTGACTCCCCAACTAAACAGCCAGAGAAGGCACTAGAGAAGTCAGCTAATGAAGGCCTGGAACACAAACAGCCGCCCCTTACTTCTAATGTGTTGCACTTTTTACCTCTCTCAGTTGCACTTTTAACAATCCAAGTTGCTTAGTTTTTAATTGATTCATTGGCGTTACAGGTCGCTTCAGTTGTGATCAACTCCAAGTGATATACATACCTCCCATTTGTAATTATGTTTAAAATAATATAGCAATTACAGAGAGAAACCTGACAACTACCCCATACTTATACATTTCTCATATTAATCAGATGACACATTACAAGGGGGGATAGCATTACAGCATCCCAACCCTCAAGGTCTACAGGAACAGTCAGAAGTTCATGGCTTTCCTGAATTCCAGTTGGGTTGGGGACATTCAAACCTCCAGAGGAATGCTGTTCCACAGATGGGAGAGAGCAGTTGGAAAGGCCTATCTCTGTCCTCCTGACTGATGGCAGTCCCTAAGAGAAGTGGTACAGAATGAATACATTCTTCCAGACCTCATTGGCCAGGCAGATGCAATTGGGAATAGGTGGTCAAAAGATACCTAGATCAGGAGCAATGGACAGCTTTAATGGTGACAGCGAGCAACTTGAATTGCAACCAGTGTAATCAGTGGTAATTAATGTAGCTTTTGAAGTAGTGGTGTTATAGCAATTAAAGACATGAAATTAGTGAATCTCTGTTTCTATTTGTAACCCTACCTGTACTCTGGTTCTTACCCCTACCCCTACAAGTACATCAACATCTTACTAAGGACATGCTTTGATTAAGGGGAACTTTAGCTCTTGCCTCTGCCTCTATCTCTGTCACTGTCTCCATCTCCATCTCCATCTCCATCTCCATCTCCATCTCCATCTCCATCTCCATCTCCATCACCATCACCATCTCCATCACCATCTCCATCTCCATCCCCATCCCCATCCCCATCCCCATCCCCATCCCCATCCCCATCCCCATCCCC